CAATTGTTTGCCTTAGTTATGGCCGACCAGTAAATTTAACCTTCATCACACATTTACAAAGGAGCTTGACTTTGGCACTAAAGGAGAAGCAGTAACAAATTCATTCTCTAAACATGGTGAGCAAAGATTTTACTGCATCCATGTTTGTCTTTGAGAAACTAACTTCACAGTCTGTGGACTGGTGAGTTTGGTTGTGGGCATTTATCTGCTCTTTTCCTGTAGAGGTAGCAGGAGATAGGGTTATTAAGTGTGCTTGAGTTGTCAGAGAGCCTGGCAGCCCTTGAGGGAAGGTCCTGGCAGCATGTCTGTGAGGAACTTGGTTCCCTCAGTAGGAGTGAGGGTGGAAGAGGGTGCCATGATCTCTGTGTGCAGGGTCCTGGAGTGTGACAGGCCTGTGACTGAAAGCACTCCAGGGTGCTCTGGGGTTGGGAGGGCTCTGTGGGGCAGGTAGGCTTCTGGCTTTGTTCCTTATTGTTTGCTCTTGGTATCTCCTGATACTCCTTGGAAGTGAAGAGGACTGAAGGCCACCATTAAATAGCCATCATTAAATATGAATTTATGAGGATTTTGGGATGTGTGATCTTAGCTTGCTTTGGAATCCCACTCCATCCCTTCTGGGAGTGAGGAAAGCTCACCTTCCTTATAGAATGCAAACTTTCTGACAAAAAGCCCTTTTCCAGTTAACTTGTTTTCAGATAGAGTTTTCTATGCTTTTCCACCTATTTCTGCAGTCCAAGGCCTAACCCTCCAGGTTCTCTGCTGCAATTGGCTTAGTGCTAAACAGGCACCAAAGTGAAGTATTTGTCTGTTAAGAAGGATAGAAGTGCAGAGCTGACCCTTGACTTCTTCTTCAACCCATTCCTTCTGTAAGCCCCGATATGCACAATCAGTTTCCAGGTGTCTCAGGTCAATGGGGCAGGGGGCCTTGGGGGCTGGGAAGGAAGCCCAGACTGAAGGTCCTATAACTGCTGCTAAGACATATTTTTAAATCTACTTAGAGGATGTTACAAGAGTTCAACTGAAGCATCTCCCATTTCCCCCTTAGAGCCCTAGAGAGACTGATTCTCCTGCTTCCCAGTCCCTCCTCCCACTTCACCAAGCATTTTTAAGACCTGGTTTGGGTTTATTGACAACCATGTGTATAATTCATGCAAGACAGGTTACAGTGGAGCGTGTTACCTTTGCTAGTCAAGCATGGCTCAGTAATGCTGCTGCAGATTTTGGCCAGGAAGTACATTTTATTGGTGTTTGGGTCTAATGTTTTCCTGTCCGGAAACCTTCTCCTACCCTTGGTGGGTCTGTTCTGGCAAAAGCACCATCAGGGAAAATCTACCTTTCCCTTGTCCAGTTGGATAAATAGAGTCCAGAAAAGGACAGTCTGTTGTGTAAAGCAGAAGCCCTTGGGGGAAAAAATGTAAGCATTGAGAAGTGAGAGGGTGAGACTGTTCTGGTGGGCCACACAAGCCCAAGCTAAGCCTTGGTGTTGCCAGGTTGGTTCCTGGTGATGTTGTAGTTAGTACCTGGGGCTTTTGTTTTGTTTTCCCCTTTTCTTTATTAATATATATCCATGAAGTGCTTTAGGAAGGGACTGCTTTCCATTTAATGAAGATCATCGTCCTTTTCCAATTCAGTTGTTTCCAAACACCCTGAAATAATGGGTGTG